TTTCCTTAGTGGCTAAAGCAATATTAGAAATCTTGTGATCATTTTGATCTAACGAACACGTTCTATGTGCAAAGCACTGTGCCAGTGCTGGGAATAAAAGGTGAGCTATTATTGAGACCCTGTTATCATGGAGCTTACAATCCAATCTAGGGGAGAACAATACACATAGGTCACTGTGAGAGAAGGGAGAGTGAAATGAGTGCAAAAACTGTCAGGCAAAGTAAAACGAGAAATTTATGTGGGGGGAGAGATCACTTTCACTACTGGAATGTTGGTCATGGAAGACCTTGCTGAGGTTGTAGCACCTGAACTGGTCCCTGAAGTAAGGGTGAAAATGCAACAGACAGAAGTAAGGACCTGGATAACATTTACCTGAAATGTGGAGTAACATTTAGGCACAATTTACAACCTTTAAAGTGCTACATGAATGTTTTACTATTACTATTATCATCATCATTAGTGACCGCATGGCCATTATTATGTGGAGTATGGAATATGTCTAAAAAGGTAAGTTGGAACCAAATTATGCAGGGTCTTAAGCACCATGATCCAGAGATTTCATACTAATTCTGCAGGAGTGATATGCTCAGATGACTAAACTAGGAAGATTACTTGGGCAGTGGTGCAAAGCTTGCTCACACCCATCATGCTTCTTTCCCCTGCACAATATGACATTCATCTTCAATTCTAAGGAGGTAGTAGTATTCCAGGTCTTGTTGTCAAACATATTGGAAACAAGGAACCCCAAAGGAGATCAGAAATAAATCAAGTCACTGAAGAATTTACATGACAAGAGGAAAAAGATGGTCTAATCATGTAGCTAGATTAACGAATGACAGGTAGATAGCCAGAACTCTCCACTGGCACCCACTTGGCGTTACAAGAAAGTAAGCAAGGCCTCACACATGCTGAGTGGATATTCTAAAGCAAACTTTCAGGAGGACATGGAAAAAGCATCACACAGAATGCAAAGCTATGGATGGGTTGCAATTTTCATCACCATACACACATGCATATGTTTATACACACACATATATACATATAGGTGTCATACATATTTGCATATGTGTGTATATATACACATATACATGCATGTGTTTATATGTGCATATAGGCCTATATATTCATATTATACCATTTAAAATATATTGAGCAGTTTTTTTAAACTCTTTCTAGTTTGTTTTTTCTTCTTTAAAGTATTCTTTGTTATTAATGATGGTTCTCTAGGAGGGGTTGGAGGAAGGTTGCAGGGGAAATTGAGGCAACATAAAAACAAAAGACATCAAAATTCTATCTATAAAAAGAAATACAGAAAACTGATACAGAAAAAAATGCATGCTAGCTCTACCTTCCTGTGTTATTTCTGAGGCTTCCTATTTTTTCCTGGCATGGGAGGATGGAGATACTAAAGCAATGGTCTGGTAATAACAGAGAGCTGGTTCTGACCCATTGAGTTTTACCCACCAGACCGGGGGTGTTATATTCTGCCACCACTGCCAGGTCTGCTACTGCCATTCCCCTCCCTAACAGGTGCTTCATTCACAGCCAAGAACATGGGACAGAAAGTGAATGGGAAATGCTAACAGGCACCATTGAAAGATGTGGGAGGGGTTCCAATCATGTGACAGCTACAGGAACAGGGCCCAATATCTTTGCAAGTTCACATAGTGGAAGGGAAAAGAGGCAGCAACACATGGCTTTCAGATTTTCTACAAGTTAAAGGAGGTTTAGGCCTTTTTTAGCTAAGAAGGCTGGGGAAATTGAGCCAGAGAATCAGAAAAGGAATAGAAACAGGAAAGAAAGGGAGAAGGGTAACACTGAGGTCACATATTAAAGTTATTTTTTTCCTCCCCAAATAGACCTTATTTCTTTTACTTGACACACTAGAAGTTGAGCTCTCTGAAATTTGGGTTGTGATGCAGCTACTACCTTCGTCCTCATTTTCCTAGTAATTAATCAATAATTTGCATTTGCAGCTTGTTTTAAGGTTTATAAAGCATTTTCCTGAAAACGAGGGAGGTAGTACATCTATTATCATTTCCATTTTACCATATGACGAAATGATGCTCAAGAGAGGGTAAATGACCTAACCATAGTCACACAGCTAGCAAAGTTTCTGAGAAACCATGCATGGAAATCTAAGTCATACCTGACTCCACATCTTTCATCGTAAATGGGGGCTTAATCAGCAGGCGAAGTTTTCCTTCACAAGCCAAATCTACTTCCCAATAAGGACTGTTGTTTGCACTTCGAATATTCTGACCCTAATTTGGGAAAATATTCCCTTTCACCTTAAAAGTGTAAGGCATAAATTAGCTTTCTCCTTTTTTCATTCCTTGTTTTATGGCCTGATTGACCTATCACAACCCTTCATTCCCAAAGCTATTTAAGACTGTAACCTACAATGATGATTCACAAAATACTTGAGTCACATATCTAACCATTTCAATTAGAAGTTAGAGAATTTAGAGGTAAAAAGAACTTAAAGACAGGATCGATCCAACCTCTTTCACTTTACAAATGGAGAAATTGAAGCCCAGAGGGGTTCTGCCAACTTTAAGCCAAGAAACAAAAGCTAATGTAGCAGCTGAAAAAAAAGTGTTGCTACATACAAAGGAAAATTCACATTAAATCTGGATAATGGGTTGATTTATACCACACACTGTAGAACAATGAATGTGGTAATCATGGGAAAGAACCATTGACAAAGGAAGGGACTATGAAGAGAGAATCTGATCATAAGAAATCATTTGAAGAGGTGGCTTAAAACTCTAAACTCAGCTATACAAACATTATGTAAACAAGTTAAACTTTAAAAAAATTGCTTTCTAATTTCAAAGATATCATCAATTTTATAAGCCTCTATTAACATATATATCATAAATAACTGCCCCATAACTAAAAGTTTTGATAATAAAAGAAAACCCCATGATAAATATTGAATTTGCCCTGTGTGCTGTAAGAACCCTTTTAATTGAGGTTGTTAGAAACTCACATATCTGTGCTATAAATTCATTAATTCTTCATAATACATATGGTGCTATTATTTATAATAGTATTTCAGTCTTTTTTTTTTCAGTCATGTCCAACTCTTCATGAGCCCATTTGGGGTTTTCTTGGTAAAGATACTACAGCAGTTTACCGTTTTCTTCTACAGCTCATTTAACTGATGAGGAAACTGAGGCAAATAGGGTTTAAGTGCCTTGCCCAGGGTCACACAGCTAACAAGTGTCTTACAATGGTATAACTACCCTCTCTCCCCAAATCAGATTATCATGTTGTTTCACCAACTGTAAAGGAAAAAAGAAATACATGAGTCCATCACTGGCAAGGCAGGAAGAAACATTAAAGTCCTTGCTTTTGAAGTGGTTCTAATTATAGATTGATTTTTATTCCCCTGGCTTGAGAAGTGGGACCATCTTAAGAAAACAAGGGGGTAGGTTGTGGAATTGAAAGCTCTCTCCGTCTTCACACTTGAGCCACTGTAGATTAAAAGCTGGAAACATTTCTCTTCTGAAATTCTGAATGAATTTCTACCCATTAAAGATGTTCCAAAGCCCTAAATAAATTGCTATATAATGAATAAATACTGAAACACCGAAGGAGTGACACTGAAACTAGATGATGCAAGAAAATCACTCAGGCTATTTCTCTAATATGTGTTGTGGATGTAGTAAATCCTTTAGCTTTGCCCTACTTACACGAGCCACATCTTATTGATATGCCAGAGCCTAACTGTTCCTTTGTACCAAGGTTCAGTTTTAAGTGAATTATTAGGATAAGGTTATAAACTCAGAGAAATGAAGGTTTATGCTGGAACTATGGTTGTTACTTTCGCATTTCTGAATTCCATTGCAGGGGGCCAGACCTGCATCATCTGTTCTCAGCTACTGCCTAGCTCCTCAATCAATAAGTCAACAAGCATTTATTCAGCACTTACTGTGTGCAGAGCACTTGATTTAGGCAGAAAGGGAAGGAGATACCATCAAGCATTTCTCTGGGGAAAAATAAAATTCTAAGAACAATACAACCCTTAGGTTAAAGATCTGTAATCTGACAACTCATTGCCATAGTTGTTCCTTTCTTTTTATCTTTACCCACAGATAAGTCCCCAAAAGGTTGTATTTAAAATTAAATTTTCCTTTATTTAAAGTCATATGTTAAGTGTATGACATGGATTGCTATCTTAAGGCACCCAGAGTGCATTTTTGGAACCTTGACTATCATTCTGTTTGGGGTCCGCTGGATAATTTTGATTTGTCTGCTACATTGGCTTGTGCTTTCTCTTCGTTCATGATGTGAGAACTCTATACAGAACGGGTAAAATGCCTCTATGTACAGGAGAGCTCTATACCTGTCTATAGTGGGGACCTGACCTGACCTATAGTGGGTACCAAGATACCTGCCCCAGGCATCCTGTTTTAAATTCTCCTTTCTGCTGCTTATTTCTTGGGTAATTCTAGGCTTCTTACTATTACCAGTAAGTAATAGCCACGGGATTTTGGCGTGGTGGTGGTAAAAGATAAAACTTAAATAAATCAATTAAGCTTCAGGTCAAGAGATCCATTTAAAGGATTGTTGGGGGTTATGGGAGAGCTGAAATTATTAGAATAGCTTTGCCAGAAGGATTATTATGATATGAAACATTATGTTTCATATTATAACATGGGACAGCATGGCGCAGTAGAAAAAATGTTGGAATTGGAGTCAGGAAGAATTGAGTTAAAATCTCACTTCAGATACTCACTACTTGAGTGATACTAAGCAAGTAATTTGCCCTCCCTTGGCCTTAGTTCCTCACCTGTAACATGAAGGGGTTAGAATAGATGGCCTCTGAGGTCCCTTCCAGCTCTAAAGCTATGATAAATTTGAATTCTGCATACTACTCCCCTTGTCCGAGTGAACATCGGTTATCCAAGGCTGACCATGACCCAGAAGATCATATTGAGAGATAGTTTCCAGTATGTTTCAGGGCATGTGAATTTACAGGAAAGCATTAC